GAATTCAAGTGGAACCATCTCGATCGCATTAAAATCGCATGGTTTTTTGAACAAATTACTTGCAATGTCCGCTCGAATTCTCGTCGAGTCACTGCTCGTGTTAACGAAGGTATTTTAATGAGACGAAGACGAAGGGGATCTCAGAGATGCCTGAACGTTCGAGTGTTATATATGGAGTGTCTCAAATTACTTTTCACAATCACACATTCCAACTACAATGCAGGTTAAGAAGGATGAAGAGTTTTAATTATTCCGACATTGACAACATTTAATATGTGTGCCGAGATTGATTCTCCGCATTCTCATAAAAGAAATCACGGTCGAAATTCGGCCGTAGTAGGTTTCGATTACCCTATATAACGGTTCGTGGTATAATAAAACGAGAAAGAGCCTCTTCTCGCCTTCTGCTCTCGAGAGAATCAAAAAATCGGTACATAGTTGGAAAGTTTATGTTTTCTTGTTTAAAAATATAATTTTATTCTATAATAAAAGTGAAAGTGACTATAGATCGTCAATAACAATTTTCCAAGTTAATTTTATCATTAAAAATATGTTGATTTTATACAAAATTTATTCTAAATTACTTTAAAATTTACATTCATTTTGCGTTGAAATGTTAACATAGTATTACTGTCATCTTTTAATATTTCTATATTATGTTAAATTAATACAAAAATTTGTGTGGATTCTTGGAGAGATTGTGCGGACACTTTGGAGAGCAGAGATAACCACCCGATGTAATGGGGTGAAAAAAAAAAAAATAAAAGAGAAAAGTCGGGGAGTCTCCGGAGCCCACCATCATGTGTGCCCGCACTACGTGCGGCGTACTCGAGTGGAGAAATATTTGCACGGCTGTTCGCGATACCGTCGAGCGAATATCCATCCGATTCGCGCTGTAAAACGATCGCTCGAAGCGCTGATGAAAGTGAGTAACGTCGAATCTCAACCGTCAATTATATTCGTTCCGCGAGCGAATGATACACAAACGGACGTTCTGCCGCAGGCTGGATCTAACTGTGACGTTATCTAATTATGTCGATGCGAGCGCGAAGAGATCTTTCTTCCAATTATAACTGTGAAGAGAAGATGTATACGAGGCTTTGATAAAGGTGCTAATATGGCGTAAAAACTTGAAACTTGCACGTTGAATAATATGAATAATTTTTTGCATTGTATTTTGTGTATATATATTATGAAATTTAAATTGTATTAAATCTGGTACTTAAATAAATATAAATTGGTAATGGTAAAATACACTAATAAAACTAACAATTATTAAAAAAAAAAAATTCGAATGTTTTTTTAATAATTATGATTTAAAGGATCATTACAAAAATAAAATAAAAAGACCTTGCTAAACGAGAAATTATCGAAAGATCACGGGGTCTGTTCTTTGCAGCTGAACTGGCTGCACTGGTTCAGAGTTTATCTTTTTCTCTCCCCATTGGAAGGAGAAGGATGGGCTCTGAACTGGTGCAGCCAGTTCAGCTGTGAAGAACAGACCTACGGTTACATACTCGAATCGCGGTACAGCTATTTGTCATTACATCGGTTTATAACGTGTTGCATGTTACTGATTGCGCCCTGGCCGTCCGTGCGGTATGTTTGCGAATATTTTCCGCAAACGCACCGCGTACCACCGAATTACGCAATGCGTTCAAGCAGATCGAAAAGTCCGATTTTCCGCATCGGCGATCATTCGACGATACCGAGCGCGCCAAATTAGCGCGATCGGCAAAAGGCTAGAACGTTTATGTAACGGCGGGGAGACAAGTTGATTATCCGTAATTCAGCCGACGCAAAAATCCGTAGAAAGCACCTGCGGAAGGTATAAACTTGGGACCTGGGTACGACAACGACGCGTGGCGGACCGGCGTTGCGGTCAACCAGCACGCCGCCGATTATTATCCGTAATCCCGCCGTTGAAAAAATCCGCCGGGCACCTTACGGAAACGCAAAGTGGAGGTCTCTCCGAGACCAATTATCCGCAATCGACGACGGTTACTAATGGACGCGTTATGGAAATTCACGTCAACTCCTCGAGGGCGCGCGCCTTCGGTTCTCACGAGAGGAAACCCGAACGATACCCTTAACTATACCAGTATACACGAAGAATTATACTAATTTTAACGATTTCTACATTTATGCAAAGTTTCTAAAAACTTCTTTTCGTTTTACAGCACTTGTTTCGGACACGGCATACAGATCCATATTACAACCTGTAATCTTCCAGCAATACGCAAATTTATATCATTCAACCTTATTTACTTTTCATATAATATAGAAAGCTGTATATTTTTAATTTTTCTTTCTCTCAGTTATTTTTAACTATTTATATTTATAAAAGTATATATAGAAGAAAATGAAATTAGAAATGACTCTGCTTATTAGACTGTGCGATAAATTAAATTTTTTTCCGGTATCTATATCATATGTAGTAAAAAATTTTGATCTAAAAAGGAACAGGCTAGTCTAGTTAATTAATTCGGGTTATTAATGTGATTCAATTTTAAAGGCAAAACAGATGATGATTCTCGTCGAGATACTTTTTCGCTCACCAATATAAACCTACTCAAGGCTTGAAAAAACTCGACATAATAGACAGGATTACGAGTTACGTGCTCTCTATATCTGATTCATCTCTCTCTCTCTCTCTCTCTCCCTCTCTCTCTCTCTCTCTCTCTCTCTCTCTCTCTCTCTCGGTATGCACAAAGTACACCTGTTATTGCGCCAAGCAGACGTCCGCTCAAATTATCATGCGTGCCACGCAGGCATGCGTAACTGGAAAATGACTCGGTTTGCATAACTCTCGGTCAGATGTTTCCCTCTCGAGGCTCGAGGGTCGAGGAAGCGCCGAAGGAGATCCGGCATACGTTTATCCTTCTCCACTCGAAAACCCGCGTGTGTCCGTCGCGCGCGATTTGCATCCGACCAGATGCTCCTCACGACCGGTCGGTTTGTTTTTCCACCGTAGGCCGTACGCGAGCGAGCGAGCACGCGATCTCTGTCTCTATTAACCGTAAATCATAGCTCATGAAAGCGACTCGGGCGAGTAGAAGGATGAAAGTAACAGTTTACTTGCGCTCTTATGCGCGAACGTGTAAAATAGAGCGTGCGAGATGTAATAAAAGCATCAACGTTCAGCCCCGTTTAAATCATGTGGATAGATATCCGTGATATATCGAGATATCTCGTTTATGACTTTGTAAAATAAAAATAATCTCGACAAAAATAATTCGCAAGAACATATAAATAATATAAGTCGGTTTTTTTTAAGCTGACATTAAATATTTATTTGAGATCTTTGCAATCTATCTACTTCTAACATTCTTGCTTCTTTTCAGCTTCAACGGTACTTTTTTTATCAGATACTTCTTCTTCTTCTTCTTTGTTTGTATGGCTCCGCCATACTTTATATAGTTAGGTAGCTACCCGACACACGGCCAGTATAATCAGATAAAGTACACGCTCCGCACGGTATCTTAATTGTAAAAAGAAATTTGTGTAGATATATTTGCTGTTTGATTTATTCTGTAAGTACTTTATCGTTCTACTCTGTATTCCTTCCATTCTTTTAAAGAGTTATGTCAAAAATATATACAAACATTTTGAAGTTGTTGTGTTTCATATATATGTATTCTATACATAATTTAAAAAAAGAAAACATATACTATCTAGTTTTTATAAATACAATCACAGCCAATAGAACAATGTGAGACGAAAGTCACGGTCATATAATATTCATTTTGTAATATAGCAATTAATTCGTCTATAATTATACAACATGCTTTTATGTATTTCTATATTAGCTTTTTTTGTAGGTTATTGTAATGGCCACTAGGAAACAAATTCAAGAATATCTCGATATAAGGGATAAAATCGATATGACAGTAAATGATGTTTTAAATAAAATTGTATCTATAGATACTATACCAGAAGGTGAAGAAAAGAATATAATAAAATTAACAGTAGAAACTGTAGAAAAAAAAAAGGAATATATGCACAAAAAGGTATCATACGAGGCAGCAATATACGATTATAAGGTAAATTTCGGCTCCAACGTAAGAGCGGTACAAATAGTTGCACGCAAATATAAAGTTAAATCTCGGATTCTTAGCGAGGAAATATATAAACATACTCAAACAGGGCCGAATTATGTATTTGATAAAGATATAGAAGGAGAATTCATTAAATATGCACAGGAAGAAGAATTATGGAAACATGTACAATTGTTGGTAAAAACAAAATTTATACCTTGCTCTTGTAGAGCTTGTGTTTTGCTAGAATTATCACGACATGCCTACGAATATCTCGAAGAGTGGGACAAAAGATATTGCTACCCGCTGTGGTGTTTACATAAAGCGGCATCAATAGAATGGATACAAAAATTCGAAATGAGGCACCGTTGCGAAATTTCTGACTTATGCAAGTGGTCGTGTAATGGGATCTATGGTGTAGCACCTGTAGAACCTGTAGAACCTGTAGAACCCGTATCGAAGAAGAGATGTATGTAGTACTAGCACGAGTAATCAATAACAGCTGTTGTCAACGTTTTGATGGAGAAGTTGACTATAAAACATTTTAGAATTTTTCGAATTATCAAAAAATTCTAAAATGTTTTATAGTCAACAAATTTTAATCTACTTCGGTATTGCATTGTGATGAAATATTAATACAAACGTGCTAACATTTATTTTATAAGATTTACGATTTAATGAACAGCTTGAGTAAGATATTTAAAAAAGAAACAGCACCTATAAATGCCATTCTTATAAATGACGAGTCTTTAAGATATCTGTAAGATGCTTTTTTATCAACGGAAAGAGAAAATTTTGAGAAATATGTATTGTAATTTATGAACACAAACGAGCTTTGATATACGACTAGGCTACAATATTATTTTTAAACATTAATTGTTATTGAATGACTGAAATGTAGTCAAAATATTTAAGAGTAATTTAATTAATTGATTATAATTTCAAAATACATTCATATTTATATTATTAATTATGCATATATTAATAAATTTTTAACATTTTCAATTAACAGATTTTTATTTTTTTACACCATGTTTTTTGTTGCATAAAAATTCAAACAGTTTGATCTTTGCAATCTATCTACTTTTAACATTCTTGCTTCTTTTTAGCTTCACCAGTACTCTTTTTATTTTGAAAAATGGAATCTTTTAGATGGTTATTTTTTTTTCTCTTATATGTCGATATGTGTATATGATATACTGCTAAAATTTAACGTATATATTTTTATGTATCTAACTGACACGAATAAAATGTGCTAGAGATTAAAAATCAAAACATTGTTTTCAAACACATCTTCTGAGGAATAGAAAAGATACATGTACTGTTATGAGACCTTGAATTAATATCCTATTTATTTTTGTAACATTATCCTGCCAGTTTTAAATTTGGTTATTTTGTGACAACATCGTTTCAATATAATTAGTTGTTTCTATATAATCAGATAAAGTACACGCTCCGCACGGTATCTTAATTGTAAAAAGAAATTTGTGTAGATATATTTGCTGTCTGATTTATTCTGTAAGTACTTTATCGTTCTACTCTGTATTCCTTCCAATCTTTTTAAAGAGTTATGTCAAAAATATATACAAACATTTTGAAGTTGTTGTGTTTCATGTATTCTATACATAATTAAAAAAGGAAGACATATACTATCTAGTTTTTATAAATACAATCACAGCCAATAGAACAATGTGAGACGAAAGTCACGGTCATATAATATTCATTTTGTAATATAGCAATTAATTCGTCTATAATTATACAACATGCTTTTATGTATTTCTATATTAGCTTTTTTGTGTAGGTTATTGTAATGGCCACTAGGGAACAAATTCAAGAATATCTCCATATAAGGGATAATATCGATATGACAGTAAATGCTGTTTTAAATAAAATTGTATCTATAAATACCATACCAGAAGGTGAAGAAAAGAATATAATAAAATTAACAGTAGAAACTGTAGAAAAAAAAAAAGGAATATATGCACGAAAAGGTATCATACGAGGCAGCAATATACGATTATAGGGTAACAGAACACTCCAACCCGAAAGCGGTAAAAAAAATTGCAGCCAAATATGGACTTGAGCCTATGAATCTTAGCATGGAAATATATAAAACTACTAGTGACTCGAATTATGTATTTACTAAAGCTATAGAAGGAGAAAACATTTCATATGCAGATGAAGAAGAATTATGGCAACATTTAAAATCGTTTGTAGAACAAAATTCAATACCTTGCCCTTGTAGAGCTTGTTTTTTGCTAGAATCCTCAATACAAGCTTACAAATTTTGCGAACGGTGGAACATAGATAATTTTTACCAGCATGGGATTTTAGCCTTATGGGATTTACATAAAGCGGCAACAATAGAATGGATAAAAAAATTCGAAATGAGGCATCGTGACGAAATTTATAACTTATGCAGTAAGTCGTGTAATAAGACCTGTAGTGTAGCACCTGTAGTACCTGTATGTAGTACTAGCATGAGTAATAAATAACAACTGTTGTCAATGTTTGATGGAGAAATTATTTTCGAACTATCAAAAAATTATAAAATGTTTTATAGTCAACAAATTTTAATCTATTTCGGTATTGCATTGTGATGAAATATTAATACAAACGTGCTAACATTTACTTTATAAGATTTACGGTTTAATGAACAGCTTGAGTAAGATATTTAAAAAAGAAACAGCACCTATAAATGCCATTCTTATAAATGACGAGTCTTTAAGATATCTGTAAGATGCTTTTTTATCAACGGAAAGAGAAAATTTTGAGAAATATGTATTGTAATTTATGAACACAAACAAGCTTTTATATACGACTAGGCTACAATATTATTTTTAAACATTAATTGTTATTGAAAATATCTGTGTGAATTTCGTTACGTTTTATTGTGTATAAAGGTCTTTAAATATTACAAGAAAAGTTATATGAGGCAAACATAGAAACAAGAGAAAGAGAGAGAAAGAAACAATTCCGCACGGACGATCGGTTCGCGTCGCTCGTCCTCTCCATATGCCGATCGATCGCGCGTCCCCGTTTTCGAGAGATCGATGATTCTTCCTGCCGATCGCCGATCACGAGCGACGAGGTAATTTCCCGATTGGTCCTGGTAACTCTCGGCATCGAGTTGCCCTTGCGATCGGCCAATCCAGCGGCGACCGTTCCGCGTCCGGGGTTAACGCATTCGCGATCGTTCGGTATCATTACATAAGATGTATCCACGATGAGAACTGGCAAGATATATATGGGCAGAAGAGGGAGGGGAATGCAACGGATGCACATACCATCAAATATATATATATGTACGTAATTCATCTATGAGTATCGCATCGCGAGTCAAACTATCACGATCGAACATGCACACATCGCATATGTTCTTTCTTTATTTATTTTTTGATTTCTCGCATTTTCAACGTACGTGGATATCGATTGATGATATTGTATTTATGATCGCTACCAATCGATGCACCCGGTCGTAAATTCGCGGAGATGGATCGCGAATTATAGGGCATCTTGAGATATTTCACGAGCGTGTTGTTTGCGCATCGAACGTATTATGGGTTTCTTCTTTAATCTTCCACATTGCTCATTTCGACGCGAGTAATATCGAGGGGTACGGAAGCAAAAAATTTCGAGTGAAAAATACTATCTTATTCCTCACATCACACATTAGCAAATTCGTATTTATATTTAAAATAAAAAGACATAAATTTTTCATTCTTGAATTTTTAACAATACTGCATCAAATACAATATAGCATTAACGAACAAAATGACAAAATTGTGCAGATTAATTATGCAAACGACATCCAGAGGAGAATGATGAGCTTATTTATCATTTGTTCTCAGGAGAAGGCCTTTATTAAGCTACCACATGTCGAAATTGCTTCGTTGTTCGAACGAGACGTGCGATCTTATCGGGGGTCATCTTGAACGAGGGGAAGGATCGAGTGTAATTCTGCGGCGCGTGACCTGCAGTAAGATTGTACACCCGATATTACGTAGTTCCGCCGTAGTGATGAGGCAGGTGACTTTAAAAAAGATATTCCTTTAGTTAACGGATAATCCGGGGGCCTCCTTACAGACCCCCCCTGTCTCGTTTGTCGGGTAGAAAGGTACCGTAGCCTCAGGCTACAACGCACGTTGCGCTGATACGATTACAAAAAGCGATGTAAAAGATCCGAGACATTAAGGGCAATATAGTCAAGTATAAAAAATTGATGATTTTTAGGATTTTTTTTTGTTGAAAAATATATTAGAAAAATTGATCTTTTTGACGTTTTCCATATATTTTGATCGATATTTAAACAATATGTCAATTATTATTAAATCTTGGATACTTAGCTTTTTTTTTGTTTAACACGAGCCTTTGCGCGTAGCGTGTTTAAAAATACATGGCTCGTAAACATCGATAGAAAATATGTAAAATGCCAAAAAATACAATTTCTAATATTTTTAAACAAAAAATAATTCCTAGAAATCGCCAATTTTCATACTGCTAGAGTAGATTGGACCTTCGAGGATTCTTAATCGCCAGACGAGAGTATAAACGACGTCCCGATGAATTTCGTACCGATCGATCCGCGCCGCTTGCGCGAGCGTGAGAAGTTTATCACGAGGCTAATTGAGTGAGCGATTACCCGCGTTTCCTCACCGTCCCCCCTTCGTATCATACGACGATTTGCTTAATAGTCCCGGTGTCACATTCGCCGAATAGCTAATACACCTGCGTACGAGGCACAATCTCCGAGCTGCCGAATTAAGCGATCTCGCCGCTTATTATGGCGACAGTTTGTATCAGAGTCGGGCGCGTTGAAAGCCAATAAGTATCTTAGAAATTATTATCATATTCATGAGACACTTAAAATCCCAAAATTTATGAAAAATAGAAAGAATGAAGAAGAGACATCGAAGGGATTTTAGGTAAAGAAAAGTGTCTGTTTTCTACTTCGCTCTCTTAGTAAAGAGATTAGAATACAAAAACCGTTATATACAGATGTAAATAGAAATAAATTGATATTAGCGTAATGTCATGCAATATTCTGAATATGCAAAATATAAAAATTTTGTAAGCTAGATACGAAAACATCTAAATGAAATAAGATATGATTCCTAAGATTATTATGGTATTTGATCTAGTCTATTGGAGAAATCGTCGTGATAAACATATCAACACCGATTCCTTCGCCGATTTCTCTACCGTAAATCTTGGCGATCGAGATGATCGTTTAACGCTAAATTTCGGAACTTTTTGGTAAAATATTACGACTTATCTGTCACCGATATGAAAGATAGACAAGTTTACGACTACGACATTGAAAATTGATGACCCGGATGACAAGCGCAGAGGAATTTTTAATTTTTGAGTCCTTTGCCCACGTGTCGACGTAAATCCTCGAGGAATATGGCGGACCTGAACAAGTTCAGCACCGTTTACTGCCTGCAATTTCCACGTCCGTGTCAATGCATTAATTAAAGCGGCGTTACACGTCTCGTAATCGCGACACTGACATGCTCCCCAGGCTTATAACCGATCGCTTCTGTTCCTTTTTCCATTCCCAACAGGGCTGGTTTCGCTCTTGCAGGTGTACTTTTTATTGCATGGATATTTAATTAAAATGGAGGGATTTCGCTCGATAATACAAGATGATGAAAATAAACAAAGATCTCCAATTTATATTAAAGGCAGTGCACAATTTTAAATATTCGATAAAGCCAATTAATCTCATATATTTTTCTTCTTTAAAATATTTATTTAAAGATCCATTTAAGATCTCCAAAGCTATCAAAGATGTGAATTGCCCTACTTGAGATTAATAGCGCCGTAACAAATCATCTACAATTGACCGGCAATGAATATCATTTACAAATTACCTTATTATCGAGTGATCTACTTCCACGATTTCGAGATCACTGGGCCATTTTTTCCTCCGTCTAAACCGGTAGTCTATTGTGTACCAAGAAAGAAAGATCCTCGACTAAAAGACGGCCCTGGTTCTCACGCGAATTTTATCACGAGCGTCGCCGTTGTTGTTGTCCGGTATTTTTTATTAAGCAATAATCGAAAGACGACTCTTTAACGACGTCGTCGAATTTGCTCAGGAATTCGCCCGGGATTCGGTAGATTTTAACTGTCGTTAAAACATCGAGAGAATCGCGCGGTGTATCCTCGAAAGAATGTGTTTTTCTCTGCGTGCGATGTGGACAGAAAAAAAAAGATTAGTCGAAACACACGTGCCTATATAGAACACCCGAATCCGATCGCCCGCATCGATTTTTTGCGGACGATGAAAAGAGAGCTTCTCCTTTCGAGCCCAAATGAGAAATTAAGCAGTGATTACATTAAACGAGAATAGATCTGAACAAGCGTGTACGGAATCGGCCATTAAATTTTAAAGTTTTGCAAAAAGTTTCGTTATAAAAACTTTACATAATTCGATATATGATAGCTAATTATTATAATCCTCGATGCACATTCCTTTTTGATTGAAGGAACTATGTAACGTATAAAGAGAGAGAATCGGCTTACGCAAATCATTTTTTAATTATGCGTATAAAGGATTTTTTTAAATTCTTTACTGTATTTACGCGGTAATGATTCGTGTCAAGGTAAGAGATCTCTATAAATCTTTAAGAAGTATGCATGTAAAATCTTATTCTCAGAATAAGTTGGACATATTTTTCATTCACTCTCACAAAACAATAATATATATAACATTATCATTACGCTTCTCCGAGAGATATTTCTTTAAATGGATAATTCCGCTGTATATCTCGCATCCGCTAAACGCTAAATCATCGAGATTCGAAACCGAGTGAAAACAACTGTAGTCATAACACTTCAAACAAACACGAATGGTGAAGCGAAACCCGTTAACATGAAACACGATCAATATATTTTGTCGCTTAGCTAATTATGAATGCAATGTTAATTAATGCGGGAAGCGGATTCGAACGTCAGATTTATAAAAGCCTCTAAGCCCTCCTCATCTGCGCTATCTCGACTTTTAACACGGTCATTATACAGAGTATTTCACAACCTTCGTGCAATATTGTAATAGAGATAAGGTAGAATAAAAAATATCTAATACGAAAACATCTGTTACTAATTTTTACAAGACAGGTAATAAATAAATTGATTTCCACAAATACTTTTCTCTGCGATTAAAACAAAAATAAACCTTGTTTTTTTAAATGTGTAAGAAAATATTAGGTTTATAATTTTTTTTTTTTAAATGTAATAATTAATCAATCATTTAAATTGTTATTTTTAAGAAAGAATTGAATATTTTACGTACAATATTAATAACTCGTTAATATTAGTTGATCGCAGTAAGTTAGTATCCATATACATAAGAAACAATAAAATCAACTGTGCGGTCAAAATCAATATCAGCTGATTTGTAAAATATCTGTGCGTCCAAAGTGAAATCGCGAAAAAATGATCCACATAGGCCGATAACGATTTACAAGGCCAACATACTCTGATCAACAACGTACGTCAAACACGAAAAATACCGGGAAGGAGAGAAATAAAGTTCCTCTATTCCGAGATAATCTCGTTCCGATATTAATGGCCGGCACTAATCGAGAAATAAACACGCTCAATCGAACGCACATATTCGCTCTTAAACTTGCTCTGCTATAGTTTCGTTTCTTCTCTTTCACAAGCTCCGACTAGGACCGCCTTCTTAGGGTGAAAAAAAATGGCGATAAATTAAACGAATTGACGCCATTTTTTTCTGATACTTGGCCATATGGCCGGTGGATAACTGTTTTACTTTTTATTCGGAATTTATACGGCTATCAAGGATGTTTGTAGAATCCCACGTCTCATTGCGTTGGATATATATGATTTTAATGATTTGCCCTGTTAATGCTTATCGCGTGAAAAAATTCAAAGTGTCGTGGTTCTAGTGTATTTTCATTTACGGTTTCCTTGACTCCAACTCTTGGAGCCGGTTTAATTAT